AAGCCTGAAGATGATGAATGAGACTTCATCGAAACGTTGCCTAGATACTTCCAATCTTACGCGGGAGAAAACCCGAATAACCAAAGATCCATATACAGAAGCCTGATGATGGCAGATGAGATTCTGCTGAAACGTTGCTACAACTTTAAAAGAACTACAATGACGTGGGAAAATACCCAAACCAAGCCGAACACCATATATATATATAAGAGAAAAAATCAGTCCAGTTATCAATTGCTAAATCACGGTAGAAGTTCAGTAAAAAAAAAGTAAAAGTAAAAAGCCAAGCCTCACTTTGACATTTCTCTTTAAAAAATCGCCACTAAGTCAGTTTTGTCGAAAATCTTACAGATTTCTTCTCATTCTTAGGGTGTCCTTAAGTCCCAAATATTAATTTAAAAAAAGTCCTCACCAAACCGATACACTTTCTCTTTCAGTCTCTTCCTTCCAGAGCTGTCCCAGCTTCAGCAGCTTAATGGCTGCCTCTCCGCCGATGGTAGAAGGGCTTCTCCTGAATCGACCAGGGACTTTGCGATGTCCCTGGGATCGACAGGACGCGCCCCTTATTATCACCGTCTCTACGGGACGGTTTAGGTCCGTTGGGACCGACCAGGGGCGAAGATATCAGCTGTGATCTCGAAGCCCCGAGATTGCAGCTGTATCGCAGCGACGTGGCTCCGCCTTCTCCTCCTTCCCGTGTATGGCTGGCTCAGGAATTCTGGGAGTTGAAGTCCACCGGCCGTAAAGGGGCCACCCCTGATCTTAGACGATAAACGACACGATAGCCTTTGTTGAGTGACACGTTTGGATGCCCTTCCAGGGAACGCCCACCAAGATGACCCACCAGTACCCCGCGCTCACTGCCGAGCAGAAGAAGGTGCTCTCGGACATCGCCCAGCAGATCGTGGCCCCGGGCAAGGGCATCCTGGCGGCGGATGAATCCGTAGGTGGGTCTGGATTGCAGGCAGTGTATGTTGCGGGGGAGGGGTGGGTGGGTCTGGAGGCCCCTCCTCCAGGTGGGATTGCCTTCCCAGTGGGGAAGGGAAGGGGGCGTCCTGGTTGAACCCACTTTTCTCCTGCAGTCTCCAGATACCCCCCAGTTTTCCAAGAGGGCAGGACTCTGGATTCCCTCCCGAGGGACATGAAGGACCCCTGACTCTTAATGGAAGAGCGAGGGCTGCTGGGTGGACCCCGGGGCAGAAGAAGCCCCTGTAACCACCATTTCTCACCAAGGCCCCATTTTCAGTCTTCATGGCTGGCGATCTGCGCCTTCAAAATCTCTGTGTCAACTCATCAAATATTTCCCTGGCCAACAGAAAGGGAGGCGGGAGCAGTATGGCCGCTTGCAAACCAAAAGTGCATTCCATCAATGTTTTCAGAGATAGTAACTAGGTGATTTGAAGTTTCTGCCCTGTAAAATTCAAACTGGAGAGCCTGATTGATGGCTCTGGGCTATGGACGTGTCCCATTGGAGAATATGAATTATGATAACACCCAGGGGTTGGCGGGGAGGTGAAAACCAGGGTCAAGGGTGACAAGGAATGACGTGTCTCAGAGTCGACTGCACTCAAACTGTGCCGACGTGTCAACTCCCAATAAATCTTCTTTAAGCTTTGAAAATCCAGCTAGAGATCCATGATTTAAATGGGGGCAACTACCGGAGCCCTGACCCTGAGATGCCCCTGGGATACAGGCAGCCCTCGACTTACAACAGTTCACTTAGTGACCATTTAATGTACAACTGCACTGAACAAAGGAATTAAGACTTCCTCTGTGGAGATTTTGTCCCAAAGGTGCTTTTTTCTTTTTCAAGAGTCCACTGGACTGTCTGGGTTTTTTCCTTTGAAGACGTTTCGCTTCTCATCCAAGAAGCTTCTTCCACTCTGAACTGGATGGTGGGGAAGGATTAAGCCTTCAGTGGCTGAGAGTAACACTTACGACACCCGTCACATGATCCCCTTCTGCGATCTTCTGACAAGCAAAGTCAATAGGAGGAAGGCAGATTCACTTAACGACCGGGTTACTAAGTTAACCACTGCGGTGTTTCGCTTAGCAGCGGTGACAAGACAGGTCATAAAATGGTGCAAGATTCACTTCAGAAATGTTTCACTTAGCATCAGAAATCGTGGTCAGGGTTGGAAGGAAAAATCCATCTGGTTCAGTTCCAAGCTGGGCAGAAAACGCCGGAAAAAAACCTCTAGAGGCTGATTGGAAAGAAAGTTTCTTGTTTATTGATGAACAGAACCGCAGCGTGCAGTTCTGGGGCAGCTGACACAACGGGCTCCAGAGTGGGTGGGGTTTGATGCCTTCGGGATTCCTATGGGGTCATGTAGAGGTCACAGTTGGCTCTATAGGCAATGGGAAATGCAAATCCTAGGGGTTTGTCTGGGCTAATCTTATCCCCCTCGGGTTTGTGGCTTATCTGGAGTTTCTGTCTGACCCAGAAAGGATCCCCAAATCCGTCTTTCGGAAAGCTGGCCTCCTCCGTTTCTGCTTGGGGCAGGGAAACGGGGCTGGTTTCTACCTCCCTTTTTAAATATCCCCCCAATTACTTCACTCTCTACGTCAGGCCTGCCGGTGGTTGGGAAGAGCCAAGGCTGGAGGGAGGGACAGCGTGGAGGCGGGACAAACTCCCGTCGGCTTCTTCCCGTCTCGTGCAGGCAGCATGGCCAAGCGGCTGAACCAGATCGGGGTGGAGAACACCGAGGAGAACCGGCGTCTCTACCGCCAGATCCTCTTCAGCGCCGACAGCCGGGTCAAGAAATGCATTGGAGGGGTCATCTTCTTCCACGAGACCTTGTACCAAAAGGCGGACGACGGCACGCCCTTCGTGGACCTGATCAAGGACAAGGGCATCGTGGTCGGCATTAAGGTGCTGGTCGGGACCTCCGCCCTGCCATTTTTGGCCCCCTCCCCTCCCAGCTCCTGAAAAGACGGGCGGGGGGGGTGTCCCACTCTGCACGGGCTCGGCTTCCTCTGCCCAGAGTGGGGGGGCAGCGGTGCCAAGCGAGGGATGATGGCTGGGAAGCAGCTTCCATCTGCCCCCTCCCCCTGAAACGGAGCTGTTGAAGGAAGAGTAGAAGAACAGAGTTGGAGGGGGACCCTGGAGGTCTTCTAGTCCATCTGATTCCTACAGGGAATCAGCCGCCTGCCTGAGCTCTTTGGGGTCCACCTGCTGCTCTGCAGCCCAGGAGGGGAGGGGGTGAAGCCCACCCGGCTGGCCCCATCGGACAGAAAGCCCACTGGTCCAGGATGGGAAGAGCTGAAGGGTCCTGGGGGCTTCCTTGCAGACGTTTCCTGACCCAACTAGGGAACCTCATCAGTGCAGGAGGAGGAGGAGGAGAAGGAAGAGGAGGACTTTGGGGTCCTTGGTGCTCTCTGAGCTTGGCTTTTCCTTGCAGACGTTTCCTGACCCAACTAGGGAACCTCATCAGTGCTGGAATGGAGTGGAGGGGTTTGCTCCCTTGTTTATATATACTAGCCGTTTGCCCTGCATAAACAGGGAGCGAAGCTCACCCCGCCTGGCACTGAAGCAGTTCCCTAGTTGGGTCAGGAAACATCTGCAAGGAAGCCCCCCGCCCAGCTCAGAGAGCACCAGGGACCCCTCCTCTCACGCCTGAGCCCCAGAGATTCTCCTCCATTAGAGAAGAGCTGGCTCTCGTTTAGGGGGAACTGTCTGGGGTGGGGTGGGGGGAACGGAGAAAGAACCCCCCCCTCCCGCTTTCCTGAATGATCCTGGGATCTGGCAAAAAAAAAATTGGGGGGGGGGGGGGGGGGGTCCTGGGGAGGCTGCAGCCCTAACCAGCTCTCTGCTTCCTTCCCAGGTGGATAAAGGGGTGGTGCCCCTGGCTGGCACGGATGGAGAGACCACCACCCAAGGTAGGGAGGGGCAGAGGCAGGGGGTCACTTGGGGCTGGGGGGTGAGCGTGAGCCCCTCGCTTGGATTCGCTCTGTGGTCCAATCAGGCCTTGGTGGGGCAAAAGGTCCAGGGCAGGCTGCAGGGTTGCCATCGCTTTTTGACCTCTTCCTCCCTCCCTTCCTCCTTTTCCCCTCGCTTCTTTCTCCCCTCCCTTCCTACTTTCCTCCCTCCCTTCCTCTTTCTGCCCTCCTTCTTTCCCTCCCTTCCTCCCTTCTTTCCTCCCTCCTTCCTCCAACCTCCCTCCCTCCTTTCTTCTTTCCTGCCTTCCTTCTTCCTCCCTCCCTCCCCCTCCTCTTCTTCTTCCCTCCCTCCTTCCTTTTTTCTTTCTGTCCCTCCTTTCTCCCTCCCTCCACCTCTTCTTTTCCCCTCCTTCCTCCTTTCCTCCCTTTCTTCTTTCTCTTTCTTCTTTCGTCCCTCCCTCCCTCTTCCCTTCCCTCCTTTTCCTCCTTCTCCTCTTCCCTTCTCCCTTTCTTCTTTCCTCCCTCCCTCACACTCTCCTTTCTTTCACTCTTTCCTTCCTCCTTCCATCCCTTCCTCCAACCCTCTCTCCCTCCTTTCTTCTTTCTTCCCTCCCCACCTCCCTCCCTCCCTTCTTTCCTTCCTTTTCTCCCTCCTTTTTTCTTTCCTCCCTCTCTCCCCCTCCCTCCTTTCCTCCCTCCCTCTTCCCTTTCTTCTTTGCTTCTTCTTTCCTTCCTGCCCCCTTCTTCCTTTCTTTCCTCTCTCCCTTCCCCCTTTCCTCCCTTCCTCCTTTTCTTCTTTCCTCCTTTCCTCCCTCCCTTCTTCCTCCATCTTTTCTTCCTTTCCACTTCTTCCTCCCTCCCTTCCTTCTTTCCCCCCCCACGTTCTTCCCTCCCTTTTCCCTTCTATCCTTCCTCATTTATCTCTCTCTCTTCCTCCCTCCCTTCATTTCCTTCCTTCCTCCCACCAGGGCTGGATGGACTGGCAGAGCGCTGTGCCCAGTACAAGAGGGACGGCGCAGACTTTGCCAAGTGGCGCTGCGTGCTGAAGATCAGCGAGAACACCCCCTCGGCCCTGGCCATCCTGGAGAATGCCAATGTGCTTGCCCGCTATGCCAGCATCTGCCAGCAGGTGAGGCCGCTGCCCCCCCCCCTTCGCGCTGGGTTTCCGGGCTGCTCTGGCCTCCACGGGGGTCTCAGGGCTCGGCTTTCCCTCCCTGCAGAATGGCATCGTGCCCATCGTGGAGCCGGAGATCCTGCCGGACGGAGAACACGACCTGAAGCGCTGCCAGTATGTGACTGAGAAGGTAGGGCTGCCTCGGCTGGTGGATTATGGGGGTCGGTGTAGAACTGGCAGGACGAGGGCACGAAGGAGAGCAGGGCACCCCGTGGCTCTCTCCAGTCAAGAGCCAGGCTGGAGCTCCTCTTGCAGCGCACGGTGATCGGGGCCCAATCCCCGGCACCTCAAGAGACGACGCAGAGCCAGTTGCTCTCTGGCCCAACCGTTGGCAGCGGAGGGGTTGGGGGGGGGATACGCGGAAGGGAGAGGCCCTCTAGGATGCCGCTGGGGGATCTTAGAAGGTGCAATTACCCAGAATGCAGTACTCTAAAGCAGGGGTCTCCCACCTTGGCCCCTTTAAGACTGGTGGACTTCAACTCCCAGAATTCCTCAGGCAGCAGACCAGGGGTCTCCAATCTTGGCCACATAAAGACTCGGGGGCTTCAACTCCCAGAATTCCTTAAATTCTGGGAGTTGAAGCCCACAAGTCTTAACGTTGCTAAGGTTGGAGACCCCTGCTCTAGAATGGGAGTCTCCAAATTTGGCAACTTTAAGACCGGGGAATTGAAGTCCACAAGTCTTAAAATGGCCAAAGTGGGGGACTCCTGCTCTAAAGCCAGAGAGTAAAATGCCAACAAGGCTGAACCCCTCAGTCAATTATTGCACAAACGCTGGAGCAAAAGATATGCTTAAGTGGAAATATTGTGTGTGTGTGTGTTTCTTCCCTTTCTGTGATTCCTTTTGCTTCCCTGGCGGTTGTCCGTGGACCCTGATCGGCCTGGCTCTGACCCTCTTCCCAGGTCCTGGCTGCCGTCTACAAGGCCCTGAGCGACCACCACATCTACCTGGAAGGGACTCTGCTGAAACCCAACATGGTGACCCCCGGCCATGCCTGCCCAACCAAGTACAGCCCGGAAGAGATCGCCATGGCCACCGTCACTGCCCTGCGCCGGACTGTGCCCCCTGCCGTGCCAGGTAAGGTCACCTCCAGGGAAGCTCACACACTTAGGCAAGGAAAACCCAAAGGATGCACATAGACTGGGTGAAACCGGGCTCAGCGGAATGGAATGGAAAGGAATTCAGAACAGAATAGAATAAGAACAGAAAATAGGAATATAATAGACTAGAACATGGAATACAATAAGGAATGGAATAGAAATAGAATAGAATAATTATAAAGCAATAATAGAATGGAATAGAAATAAAACAATTGAATTGAATTGAATTCTTTCTTGGCCAAATATGATTGGACATACCAGGAACTTGTCTTGTTGCATATAGCAGTAACTGGTAGAGGGATCTTGGAGTCTTAGCTATATAAGAGCCAGCCGTGTGCAGCAGCAGCAGCCAAATGCATTAACAGAGGGATACAATCAAAATCAAGACAGGTATTATCTGTAAAGCCTTAGTAAGGCCACACCTAGAGTCCGGCATCCAGTTTTGATCACCACACTATAGAAAAGATGTTGAGGCTCTAGAAAAAGTGCAGAGAAGAGCAACCAGGAGGATGAGGGGACTGGAGGCTCAAACATACAATGGACGGTTGCAGGAACTGGGCCTGGCTAGTCTAGGGAAGAGAAGGACTAGGGGAGACAGGAGAGCATCTTCCAATATTTGAGGGGCTGCCCCAGAGAGAGGAAGGGGTCAAGCATAGTTGGCTGGGGAATTCTGGGAGTTGAAGTCCCCAAGCCTTCCAGGGGCCCAGGTTGGCGTCCCATGCAGGGCTCTGGGGCTGCAGCTCTTCCCTTCTGCCCCTGCAGGAATCACCTTCCTGTCGGGCGGCCAGAGCGAGGAGGAGGCCTCCCTCAACCTCAATGCCATCAACAACTGCCCGCTGCCCCGGCCGTGGGCCCTGACCTTCTCGTACGGCCGGGCCCTACAAGCCTCGGCCCTCAACACCTGGCGGGGCCAGCGGGAGAACGAGGAGCTGGCCACCGAGGAGTTCCTCAAGCGAGCCCAGGTGGGTGGCCTGGGGGGGGGATGGAGGGGGGTGCACCCCACTGCCCAGGAAGGGGAGCCCCTCCTAATCGGGGTCCCCCTCTCTCTTCTGGGGTGGGCCCCAAAGGGAAGGTGTGGCCGCCAGCATCCCTCCGTGTCTTTGCAGGTCAACGGTCAAGCAGCTCTCGGCCACTACGAAGCCAGCAGCAACGGCTCAGGGGCGGCCGGACAGTCTCTCTACGTGGCCAACCATGCCTACTAGCCCCCCGGGGCAAAGGTCTCGGGCCCTGAGGATCGGGCCCCTGGCTCCTCCGCTGCTTTCCATCCCGCTCCACCCGTCACTCCAAGCTTTCTCTAGAGTAGCCGTGACAAGCAGCAAATTAGGCAGATGAGTGTCCAATGCTGGGGGGGGGACGGACGACCACAGGGGAATCGAGTCCTGCAAGTGGAGAGGAGGGGAGGAGAGCCCAGGCCTCCCTCGCAGGGCTGTTGTGTGCACGAAAGCCCCAGCAAGGATCCAAAGCTGAACGAGGCCTCTAGAATTAGAAATTTGGCCGCTTTAAGACTTTGGGGACTCCAACTCCCAGCATTCCACAGTCAAAGGTTTGTGGACTTCAACTCCCAGAATTCCATAATGTTCCATTAAGACTTGTGGACTTCTAGGGAATTCTGGGAGTCGAAGTCCACGAATCTTGAAAGTTTTCCAGGTTGAGATCCCTGGAAAGGTTTTGGGTCAGCACCCAGGAAGACACAATGGGGGTGAATCCGTTGCAGGGGTCTCCTCTGCAGAGGGAAGGGGGGCCCCAGGAGATTTGGGGGGGTCATTGCTGTGTGGTCGTCTCTACCCCTCTGCCCACCTGCCTTTCATTTCTTTGAGGACCAATAACCTGTTTGGCTGTGCACTGTGAATTGTGGCTTTGTGGTGCGGCCTTTGTGCCCCTTCCCCGCAGCAGCCTGGCCAGTGGGAGGGGAGGGGGCGTGTGTGTGCCCCCCCCGACATACCAGTAGCCTCGTAACTAATAAACCGTAGAGATACCATCACAGTTTTTGTGTCCGTGTTTTCTTTCTCCTGGCCGGACAGATCACCTCTTCTGCCCAGGAATGGCATAGCTGGTGAGAGACAAGGCATGGGCTTTGGTCATTCGTTCGCAAGCTGAGTTCTGTTGAATTTTGACTTTGTACTTTGATTTGACCCACTTTTCCCTCTTGGAAAATGGTGGCAAGCCATCAGATAATAAAGCCATATAAAGCCATCAGACTGGAATGTAGGAAAACTTATGGATTGATTAGAGCAGGGGTCTCCCACCTTGGC